AAGAATATAAATTTCAAAAGAACATTTAATGATTTTATAATAATTGGTCCTTATTACTAGGAACTTTAAACTGGACACTGATAATTAGAAACAGAAGTGAAATAGATTACACAAATTCAAACAAATAAAAAATTTATAATAGGCAGCTGAGAAGACTGGATTAATAAAGCCTAATAAATTATATAATTCACTGATTTTATTTTGCAAAAAACAATTCACTCGTCCAGAGAAAACTGAATAATTAACTTAAAGTTTTGTTCTACTTGAATTGCTTGAACAGAACATGATGTCCTGGTAAAACATACAATGATAAATAAGCACAATTATCTTATAAGTCTGAGCATCCTGCAGAGAATCCTTAAGCTTCACTTATAGTCACGTATATTATGAAGCCTTCTTTAACCTGTTACTTCCCTGCCTAGATAAGCCAGAGTACTGCCTCTTTACAGCCTGGTCTGTACTTTATGACTAAGCTCAAACATATGTTATTTTGTTGTTTTAATCATCCAAGTTTAATCGAACCTATAAACACTGAACTATAAAAATCATCCAATTTCATCTTTCACTCTTACAGAAAAAGAAACTAAGGCGCACAGCAGTTTAATTGCTCAGAATCACAAAATTTTTTAAGTATCTTTAATAAAATTAGATTCATCCAAGAAAACAAAGGAGAAAGTAACAGATAAGTAAGCCTCACTTGAAGATAAGCCGTTAGTTACCATTAACTTGCAGACGTACACGCTTCCACATCCCTACGTGGGTCTGAATGTACTTGTCTTTCCCCCGACACGTGATCTTAACGAGTTAAGTGATTTGAAATTCTACTCTAACACCTAAGTTTCTTTGATTAACTGAAATGAAAGAGTATATAGTTAAGCCCATTTTCACATTTAACTAAAAACACAAATACGTCTTCTCTGTTCTGTTTCTCTCTCACTCCTCAACCCACCACAGGGGCTCCTGCCCTGCCCTGCCCCCGTCACCCGTCACCCCAGTGCCAGCTCTCATCACGGTCATCACTCTCTGTGGCCAAAGCAAACGAGACGCTGCCTTTCTGGTGCACGGTGCCCAGAGCTCTCGGAGGCACCTGATGTACCTGACTGCTCGTTCGCCTTGACCTTCCCTTGCTTTTGTTTTTCCTTCTGTCCCACTCTCTCAGCCTGTCCTGCCTGCCCGGCCTCCTGTGCACACTCGTCCTCCCCAGCAACCATTCTAATGTGGACGGTCCCAGAGCTCCAGAGGCCAGGCCCTGGGTCTCCGCTCTGTGTTCTCATCACGGAAGATCTCGTTCACGCCGTATCTTTAATAAACAACCAGATATGGAGAATGCTTACATTTATAACTTCAGGCCGAAATCTGGAGATATGTACTTCAGGCCGAAATCTGGAGATATGTAAGTCCGGTGAACATTTTGTGTGTCTCACAGATACCTCAGAAAGAGCGCTAACCGACTGAATACTCTATCCTTTGTGATAAAAATTCTGTCATAAAGTATCCCATCTTAGCAAATGATTCATGATCCAGCCAGAAAGCCAGCAGTCATCTTTGGGACTGCCTTTTGCTCACTGCAGTATCTCACTGATTTATTTGGCAATTTCTTGCTTACTCCTTACTATGTACCAGGCACGGTGCTAGGGAAGGGACAGAGGGTTAAGTTTAATTTTCAACGTCCCTGCCTTAAGGCTTACTTTTCTAGAAGAGAAGTCAGATCCTTCCTTGGGCTCACTGCCCTTGGAATTCCTCCGTGTGGTGCACTCTCTTCCTAGCCCACAGAGAGCTCCAGCTACTCCTCATCCTTCATGTTAGGAGCTAAAGTACCCTGACTTCCCAGCCCTCCACCAGGCCTGTGCCCCTGACCCATTTCCATAGCATATTTAACGCTTCCTCACAGCACTCGTCATGTCTGATCAATTCAGTTAGTATTTTTCTTCCACTGGTAAATGCCATAAGGCAAGGGTTTTATCAGATTCATTTAACTGTATATTGGCATGAAACACACAGACCAGCACATTGCGAGTGACTGGTAAATTTTGGTTGAACATGTTAAAAAAAAACAAAATACCACCCAAAGGACTGTAACAACTGGTCAATGTACGAGGTGTCAACATCAGGACTCGGCCTGCTGCACTGAGGCAGCCAGTGGTGCCTGCCGGGCCTGTGAGAATTAGGACCGTGAGAGGAGGCCACAGGAGGCAGGTGCTCGGCCAAGCAGGCTCTACCTGTGCTGTGTGCTCCGTGTGTATGAGTCAGGAGCTGATGAGTGTTATAAACAGAGAGGGGGGCCGAGCACGGGGCCACAGCTATAATCCCAGCACTTTGAGAGGCTGAAGCAAAAGTGTCACTTGCAGCCAGGAGTTTGAGACCAAGCTGGGCAATATAGTGGGGACACATTTCTACAAAAAAGGAAGGAAAGGGGAAGGGAAAAGGAAAGTTACTGAGAAAGGAAAAAAAGAGAAAAGAGAAGAGAAAAAGAAAGGAGGAGGAAAGGGACTGGAGGGTGGAGAGAGATAAAGGGAGGGAGGGAGGGGAAGAACCCCTAGAACCTGAGGGTTTTTAAAAAAAAATCAACAAATAAAGAAGATTAAGAAACAAGGGTGCTGGCATAAAAAAAGGTTGCCTTTTTGCGTACAATTTGGGAAGATCTGTCTAA